ACACCTTTATCGCAGATTTCTTGTTTAACTCCAAATAACCGTTTTTGTGTCACAGTTTTCACTTTCTAAAGAGAGAAATACGTCTCTTAGCATGGTTATCTTCCGTAAGCCTAAATGCATGGAATCACAGGGATCGAAATATGCACTAAGGGTGTATCCGCATCTGGCATTGAAATATTTGCACAAGGTTCTTTCTGACACGCTTGCTATCGACAATGCACTACATTCTGCGGCACGAGAATGCTTTATCACAATACTCTTCATTCATCTGACGATGTATCTCAACTCCTACTCTAGAAAACGACGCTCAACATAATTCTCCGCTCTTTATGCTAGTTCTAAACAGTAGTGAACATTCACCACTAATAACAGCTGAAATCTAACGGCCACAGAACAACCACTAATACACCTTTTTTAAGGAAAATATAAGCGATTTTGTTAATTTCCGAAAACATTTTCTATGTAAGTGCAACATTTTTAACTACTTATGCATACATGTTACCATTTTAGTGTAATTAAACGAAAACTGCATTCTAGTTTCTACATTCCGAAGAATTTCAGCCTATACAAACAAACATATTTATCTCTGATTATAAGGTCTGTTCCGACGTTCCATATTTTTAAGCAAGTATTCAATTTCATCAATGTAAAATAATCATTATTCGTTTAATAGAGCAGTCTCCAGCTTTTCGAGAATAGTTGTACGAAGCACACAAGTAGAGACAAGGCTATTCCAAACATTTTCAAAGAAGTTAGGGGTCGGGACTATTTCCATGACAATAATGTCATCTGGCTGTAAGAAGATGAGCATTACTGTCCACATGAATAAGTGACGGACGAGCTGCTTCTATGTATCCTCTCACAGTGCGATCAAGCACATCATCGAATACCTTGGACCCATCACGGTAGCTCCTGTAAAGACGTGCAGGTGAGTCCGATAATTCAAAAAAAAAATCTAGCCCACAACCATTGCAGTGCTAACACTGAAGGCGTGCTGTACAGTACACTGGAATATTTAGATACCTTTCAATTCGCATGACAGCTCCAAGCATACTTCGCTGACTACGACGCTTAAGGGAAGAGAAACTCATGGTAGGCAGGTTACAATCTTTTACTGTATAAAGATCGCCGTTTAGTAACCTCAGACAGCCTTTCACGTTTTCAAAGTACACACGGAAAATAGTGCTAGAAATTTTGTAGAGAACATGTTACAAGCTTCAGAAACCTATTTTGTTATGACGCTCATGATGGGAAGTCAAGCGTGTTGCAAAATATTGTTAAAAGTTACAGATAAAATGAACTTTTAAATGACTTACTTAATTCTGTATCCAGAGACATGTTTTATATCACTAAAATATAAATTAAAGTGCTTAGACATGATGGATTGGCCAACACTGTCTATTTATTGCAAACACAATTTTATCGCTGACTTAAAATGATAAACACCTCTAGGAGATCCTTTTTTTCGAAAAAGTGAAAACTTCATCTGAAATAAATATAAAATTTCGATGCAAGATGATACTATTAATTTCTGTATTACCCCAAAGTAAAGATTTAAGAAAATAAAACATTAAAATACATTAGACGTTTTGTTTAAATAACTGACTTTTAGATATTTTAGATTTGTTATGATCTGATTTAAATTAGTAACTCAAAAAATATTTTTTCATAACAGTTAGTGATTCGGAAGCGCCTAAGACTATAAGATGCATTGGCTTCCAAAATTTAAACACGCGACGATAAAATCAACAAGAGCGAAAAGTAAAGTTTTGGTTAACATCAAATTATACATGAAAGCAGAAATGAAGTAATGCATAAAAGTAAAAAGTGTATGTACAAACATTTAGCTAAACTTTAGCTAAACTTTTTAACTTTTAGCTAAACCGAAAAAAAAGAATTTAAAGGCATTTCAAATAAAGCTAATACATTTTTATTGCCTTTTTGCACAACATATTTGTGTGAACAACGAATTTCATATATGTGATATTTGTAAAATAAATACAGAAAATTAAAAGTGGATCCTAATTTACGGTTAAAACTAAGTGAAATAAGACCAGACATAAAGAAATTGATCTCTGCCCGAATTTCACACTATATTTTAGATTTATGGTATTATAACGTACATTTCGATAATTAAAAGGATTTTTTAAAAGGCGCAAATTAAAGAAAGGAATCAGTTTTATATGATTAATGATAGTTAATGCGGGAGATATTATGTACAGAGTTGTAAGTTTAGAATGGATTCTTGAAGTGGATATGAAGAGTGTTAAGAGTTTAGAGATAATAATGAAAAGTCATATGCGTTTTTGCAGTCATGTATTCTTTTATTTGCAAAACTGTTTTTAGCGGAGCAATTTTTAGCATGGTTAAATATGCCGTACTTTATACTTTAGCTTCTTTGTTATTTTATGTAATACTAGTCGATACGCGCCTTCGTCTGACTTTTTAATGTACCGGGAAAATGCCTAAAGAGCCAAGCATTAAACACCAAGCATTAAATTAAAAAACTGCACAGAATTTTACTCTGCAGAAACAACTTTGTAAAACAAATTTTAATAAAATGCATTATATGTAAGAAATATTACAATAAAATAAACAATATTCCTTAAGACAAATATTAATTATCCTAAGAAATAAATTAACCAACTTCCCGTTGTAAAATCCTAAGAACTCAAATGGTATAAAGGAAGTCTGTGTGTTTGTTCGCTAATAACTCAGTCACTACTAAACTATCGTCACCAAACTTTCTACAATTTTTTCTGGGTCCTGGAAAAGGTCAACGTCCACTTTTTTCCAAAAATAAAGAGTAGCTAAAATCAGAGATATTAATTAAAACTCTTAAAACGCTAATTTTCGCCCTCATTTTTCCGAGTGGCAACAGGGCTGATATCAGCAACAATGACTGCGTGCCATTGTTGTTGATATAATTAAAGATAATTATCGATTTGATGCGATTTCATAAAAAAATATAAAATAAAAAAAATCTGATTCGAATTTTGAAAATATTTCTTCGAGATGCACTGACTCTTCTCTAGATACACCTATGTACCAAATTTCATATCCTGTGTCTATAAGCTTACGCGTATCACGAACGAAAGACACACACAGACAGACTCTTCCTTTTATTATATGTAGAGATGTGTGTTAAATATTCAGAAAAATTTCTAAATATGGGTATCTATCATTTTTAGAGTCTGAAGGTTTAAATCTTCTATGAATAGCTAAAAGTTAGTATCATGTTACAAAGATAACATGCGAATCTGCCTCGAATTTTCATCTGCATTTCAGTCTTTCTTTAGTACTTTGTCAGAAAGTGACGATGATGCATTTGAGCTTTTAACTATTATATTTCAAACGATCTTTTAGAGTATACAGCTGTATGACTACTTCGGATAAGAAGCCAATAAAAATAATTCATTTTCTGCAACAGATGTCTGTATTTATACTCAAAAGTTATAGACGCATATGGCAAAGTATTTTACGTTCTAACAAAATTTGCTAAAAAAGATACAAAGAAATCTATTTCTTTTACAAATTGTATATTTATGTTTAAAATATTTTTAAAAATTTTTATAATTTTGCAAGAGTTACTTTTCCGGAAATATTATTGCTTGTATTGGGATGATGGAGAGAATTGCAGAAAAAAATGTTATACCCATCGTTGATTTTTAACGGAAGTTCAAACCTTTAAACTACAGTCTCCTGGATATTGCAAAATGATATATATTGGAACTTTATTAATGAAACAGCATACTTATCTAAACTACGTAGAGCTTAGTATACGTCCTATTCGGACCCAAAAATTTTTATTTGCTACACAATATTTGTTTTAAATACTGCTGCGTACGCGCAGGCTCGTAAGGGATTAATTGCACACAAAACGGATGATAGTTTCATAAAATTAATTTTACTGAAAGAAATATTTTACATTTCTGGAACTTTCCACGAAAATACTATAGCTCTTCTCAGTTTCACAGTGTGCAATTAGACGTTAGCTTTTACATTACTAATAACGATAAACACAGCTCAGTGAGAACCGCGTCTAAAAGGTGAAGCTCTCATGGAGATCCCTCAATACGGCAAAATCATATCACTGTCACTCGCTTCATAAAAGAATTTCGTCATACAAAATTATTCCAATAACTAAGATATTCCATTATCCGGGATCTTTGGGATTAAATTTCTTTATGAATTGACGCTCTAACTGACACACACTGAGATGAATATATATATATATATATATATATATATATATATACAGTGTAAAGTTAAATAAAGCTTTATAACAAAATTAAATTAATAATTCACTGTTCAGTACCCGCTATAAAGCATTATTTAAATTTTCATAGGTTTAATATTTATGGTTTTGCACATCAATCACTGATCTTAGATTGCTTTATTTGTTTCAGAATATATTGAATTTTTCCTGGACTTTTCAATATTTAATATGTGGAAAAGTTCTCATTAATTTTATATTTCAAAAAGCATTTTAAATTGCTTACATTCATTAAAAATTCCCACTGGTGAAGTCGCTTTAATATCCAGGTGGTCACCTTGCTCTTAATATCATTTTATTCTGCAAATACGTCATAAGAATTTCACTATTAGAACTCCCCAGAAAGCTCGAACGCATTATAGAAACTTGTGAAATTAAAATTCCCCATATCTTCAGATGGGGAATCTAGGAAAGGTAATTTCACTGCTTTTGTAACAGAAGTATCTACAAAAATGCTGCACTTAAAAAATAAGTTTTTATTTTCCCTGTTAAAATTTTATTCCATTACTTGTGTTTCACGCCACATTGGATATGCAACAAGACTTCAGCCGTCCGCATACTAACGTTATGTATGATGATCGAAATTTTATAATGTTGTATTATCTCATATTAAATAACGGAAGTAATCAGATTCTTATTACTTCTATTACTTATGTACCTACTTCTTATAATCCGTTTAGTTTCATAAAAAAAAATTTCTCATATCTTGCGAATGATTTCGGAGATGGCCACAGTGATATCTGTTCTTTACAGCGCCTGTTCTCAAGGACACTGGGATTGCCATGAGGCAACAACTGCTGATATTCTTCTCACACCACCCCCTCATGTGGCGCCAGATTGTAACGTTTCTGCTGGAATGGAACCCACAGAATGTGTCACTGAATGTCCACTCACATGTTCAAACTACCATCATCACCAACAATGCCCTATGTCTGTTTGCGTCCCTGGTTGCAGGTGAGGAATTTAAGGTCTTCTGGAATTAATGATGTAAATTAATAATTGTTTATATTTTAGTTGCATAACAAGCAGAAGTCACGGTATGATTTTTTAAATATTCATTTCAATTTTAACTGAAACAGCAGAAATAAAGTACAGATTTTGACGTTTTGCTTACTAGAATTCAAAGTGGAGTAAGTATATTTGTTATGTAGAGAAATTATCTGATAGCGTTATAAAAAAATTAGGTGAATGATTTTATGATTTATGGAAATTTAAATTTTATTTTGATTCTGAATTATTTAATTTAAGGCTTTAATTTTTGGGGAAAGACAGATGCTTCTGGGAATATTATTTAGTTTAAAAGAGTATTATTTATTTTCCTCTATTTGTAAATCTTGTACAAACTTTTTATTCATTGTGAAAGAAGCAGGGAAAGGGAGGCAATTTTCGCCAAGTCATGATTTCGCGCGCTTTAGAATGTTCGAGAAAGAATTTTCATTGTTAGTTGACCTTAAGAGAGGAAAGTACGTGACGGAAAGGTCAAAGGTTGCTACTTGTCTTTCAATGTAAGTCATTCAGGTTTTGGCGATTGAGGGTCCGGTTGTTGGCTAAGTGAAGAAGGGCGCGCACGCGCGATCACCCTTATTTCCGCATTCTGGAGTTGAAAACGAAGATTTTGCCATAATTAAGGGGGCGATAAGTGAAGCCATAGTGGGAGCCCATAAGGGGGCGATAAGTGAAGCCATAGTGGGAGCCCGTTTGGTGAAGGACAAGAAGGAAATTTGAGTTGGACACACTTACTTTGGGCTGACTCTCGGACTGACTCGCTGATTTTTGGGCTTGCTGGACAAAATGTAAGTGACTCCGAGAGGTGTTTTTTCCGGCGGGGAGCGGCAAATATGCTCCCCGGCCGCGTTTTGGTTAAGAGGGCGAGACTCTCTTACACACTTACTCTGGACTCGCTTAGGCACTCACTGCTTGGATTCGCTGACTTTTTCGGGCTGACGGACTTGTTGACGGAGAACTGAGAAAAAACTTGTGGGTGTTGCGAAGGAGAAAGGAAAAGATTTAGTCGGCATCGAGCAGTGCTTCCGGCGGGGAGCGGCAATTATGCTCCCCGGCCGCGGGTTTTCTCAAAAATGCGAAGAAAGAAAAAAACTGTTGAGCGAATAACAAAACAAAACAAAAAAAAAAATTAACAGAGACTTTGGGTCTCTATCTGTATCGGCAAAAGTCAGGACGATGTCCTCTGAACTCCGACTTGAAAACAGAAGGAATGGAAAGAATTATGTCACCTTAGACAAACTGGAAAGCCTGCGTTAGCCGTTCTCTAAAATGCCTAGCTTAATAATAAACACCTAGCTTAATTGTCTACGTTTTCCTTGGTGGAGCTGAGAGTCTAGGCAGACAGCCGTGCGGTGTAAGCTGTTCTCTTGCTTCCAGTGGGAATAATTTTCTTCTGTGGAAACCAGTAGCAGGCGTAAGATTTGACGGTATAGCTGATGTAATTTATTGTCGTGCCGTTCGAGTCTCTGTCTTGCGGATTTGCCAAGTGACGTAAGGATAGAGCTAAGATATGAGCTCTACTCCACTTCAAGATGTCCACTCAAGATAAGTATTATTTTTTTTGGTGTGTTGGAACTTTAGGCAAGTTTTTTCAAAAACGTCCTTAGCAGTAAAAACAACGTCGAATCTAAAATTTAAATCTCAGGCCATAAATTGTTTCCCTTTCCTTTCTTTTAAATCACCAGACAAACCTTAAGTTTTTTTATGAATTTAAATGAACAGACTCTCAGATGAGGTTAAGATTTTTCTTATTGTGTTGTAATTGAATAAACTGATATTTAATCTGGAACCTCTTACATTATGTTTTCTTTATATATTTAATATGAACTTTTCCTTTATATCTTGTATATGTTTTATGTTTTCGATCCTCTCACGGCGCGGTCCCGGAATGCATTTTTTTCACAACGCAAAAATGCTGTACACGTTTCACTATACGATTACTACCTTTAACGGCAAGTAGTTTCATATTTAACATTTAACAAAATAGGAATTTAAGATATAACATTGGTCGAACTTCAAGATGTCACCAACCAGATAAGTTATATATATATTTTTTTTTTGTGTTTATTCGGTCCTCTCACGAAACTCTTTTAACATAACATTGGTGCCGTGACCTCTGCTTAGTGAAGGATCGAATCAGTAACTGATTTTGTGAATTTATTTATTTCGTATAACTTACTGTTTTAAGAAGGGTGTTAAATTTTATGTGGTAGGATTAATTAGAGTTTTTGATTTGTGTTTGCTTATTTGTTAATACAAGAGTGATAAATTTTGAAAATGTGTGTGAATTTCAGGAATTTTGGACTTTAACGTTAGGCAAACAGAATTGAACTTTAAAAGTTAGGAAAAAAATATATTTTTAATGTAGGAGAATAGAGGTACTGTATATTTTTACTGTTAGAAAATCCTTGAGTGTTTTCTGGATGTATACTTTTGATTTCTGATTTCTGATACAAGATGGAAAATGAATTATTTCACGATAATCCTATGCTATTTGTGTATCCTTGTATAAAGTTTTCGAGTGCTTGTCGGTAAAAACTGGACTCATTTTTTGAGCACTTCTAAGAGAAAGAGATTAAAGACTCTAATTATTTTACTGAATGAGACAAGCCATAGCTATGCGTAGCTAGAAATTTTTTTTGTGTGTGTTTTTGCTAATTATTTAACCTAGAATCTTGTGAAATGTATAATTGTGAGGGGTAACGTTAGAGAAATTTTGATTTTTTTGACTTAATTGAATAATATTTTGTGAAATGTATGTAATGTTTTCATGATTCTCTAGCGTAGTATATTATTCTTATTACTTTTTGATTTACAATGTTTTGATATGATTCCCAGTATATTGTGTAATGTGTTAGAAAATTTAATTTAGTATTGAGCAATGAATTTTATAAGTTCTTGAAGGCATAATAATACAAATGAATGAGTTAAAGTTAACAAAATTGAAGATTGTTTTTTGCAATTGCAAAATTCTGTTTTAAAGTTGAACATGGGTTAGATTTGAATTTTTGCCTGAGATCAGCAATAGTGATGTTTGGTTATTTAAAAAAAATTTTTTTTTGGATTGAATTCATCAGCTTGAGTGAAGTTCTAATTAGTTTAATGAGTCAGAGTAATTGAGATTAGTTATCTTCTGAGTTTTAAGTTTGTGAAAAGTTCTCAGGTGAGAATTTTTTAAACAGTAGAAATTTAGTCTTGTGAATTGTAGAAAGTGAATTTTAATGAGAATTTTGGTGACAACGGGAATTTGGTTTGTGGAAATTTTTAGATAAGTTTGAGAAGATTAGTTACTTTTGCTCTGTACTCATGAGCGGGAATTTTCTGTTGATTACAAGTAGTTTGTCTTGAATTTGCTAGTTAATCGTAATAGATGTGATTTGAGGTACTGAATTTTCTTTCTTGGTTGGACTTGTTGCTGAATTTGGGGTTAATTCTTGTTTTGGCTTAAGTTTTGTATTTGAATTGTTAGTATCAAGATAGTTGTATCAAGTTTGTGTGTTGTTTTCTGGTGGTTTCTGCCAAGGTCCGTAAAATGTAAGTTCTCTGATGTTTAGTTTCTGTGGAAGAATTGAGATTTCTGTGGTCTTAGGAAAATAGAAGAATTTGAGTTATGGATTTCATTTGTGTGATTTTTAGGGATTTTTGAGTTATGAGTTATGAGTATTTTTTTTTTTTTTTTTAGTTTAGCACTTTTGAGAACTTTGCATTTGTTGCTTGCAGTTAGGTCTTGCGTGAAGTTGTAATGTCCTGAAAGCTCGTTTCCTTGTAAATACTTGCACTTCATGGTGGCACTTGACCTCTTACACCGGGGGCAAACAGGAACTTGTTATCTGAGAAAACTATTGTTGTTTTTTTTTTCATTGTGTTGGTTCAGGATTGTAACGTTTCAGTCAGCGCACTTTCCTTTCCGAGATAAGAGATCTTATGTTCTCTTTCAACGTGTCTGGAGGTTTGCTTGATACGTAAAGTTTGGAGTCTGTCATTTATAATACAGCGCTTTTCTCAGCTTACATGGACGCGGTAAAGAGTTACTTTGTTTCTTTTGTTTGGGTGGAGGTGTTGCTGGAAGGCTGCTACTTAGGTTACTATACAACGTTTTGGAAGAGTCTGATGCAGAATAGATCTCAGTTTTTGCCTAAAATTGGGGGGTTTGTTTTGAACACTTTTTTGATTTGTGATATTTTATTTAGTGTTCTAGTAACGTGCTTCAGTCCAGCTTTGATTGATTTCTTTGACTAGTTGAAATTTTTTTTGTGGACTTAAGGGATTTTTAGAATTACTGAAATTTTTGTTGTCTTACTAAGGGGACTTAAGTCTGGTGTTGTTACTCACTAGTGTTTACTTTGAGGTTTGAAAAATTTTTTAGCGGCACTTCACTCTTGCTGGTTGATTTTTTTGGCTTGATTTGAATTACCGTGAAATATTTTTGACTTGATATGGTTTAACATAATGACTATTCGTGTATTTGTTTAGGTATTGCAGTTTAAATTTTTTTTAAGTATCACTGATCTCATTGCTCATTTGAATTATGTACGAAATTTGTACAGTTTAATTGTATTTTCATTTTATGTGTATATGTGTATCTTGGTAGTATTTGTAAATTTTTGGCCAAACGTTATTTTGTACATGCATTAGTTTGTATTAGTATTATTTTTGTGTGTATTGGATAAAATTCTAATTGGTATTTGCACAGCGTATTCGTTATGTTCATTCTCGGAATTGATTTTGGTTGGATTGAATTTTTGGACAATCACGTTTTCCTTCTTTCTGATCTTTGTGTGGGGTATTTTCGGCTGGTTCCGAGGTTCCTTGTGTTGTAACGTTCTTTTCTTTTCTAATGTTTGGCCCTGATCAGGCCGCTTCTGTTCTTAGACGTGACTGTTTGGGATTCAATCTTAGAAGTTATTCAATTTCGTAGTACTTAGGGGTCTTTACTCCTTATTTGAATA